CTTTGGGCATTTGAAATGAGTAAGATATGGTTCTTGTCTTCAAGGAGCTCATTGTCTAAGTCACTCTGTAGAGGATGTTATAAATTTTTTATCCAGAGTTTCTCCATATGTGATTAAATAAAATATTTAAATATCTGTTATCTAATACTTTCCAGTGTTTTGCTTTTCATTTTCATATTTAATTTTTTGCATGGGCAATATGTTCCCATGGTTTAAAATTCAGACTGTGCAAACTGATTTGTAATTCCCCTCTGTAGAAGCAACTAGTGCTATCATTTTCTAGTATGTGTCTTTACAAATATTTTGTGCACACCCAAGAAAAAGGTACACATATATTTAATCTTTCCCCTTTTTAAAAACAAATACATTCTGTTGAGTAACCTTGCTTTTTCACTTAAAATATATACCTTGGATACTTTTTCATGCTAAAACTTAAAGAACTCATTTTTCTCTATGCATGCATAATATTCTATGATATGGAAAAATCATAATTTATTTAAGCAGTTTCCTGTCGATGGACATTTAGGTTATTTCCATTCTTTTGCTATTGCAGGAAATGTTAACGTGAGTAACTTTAGCACTTAGATTCTAAAGTGAGCTAGAGAGGACTGCACTCAGGTTTCCCGGAGCATATTCCACAGAACAAAAGTTTCCGGAGATGTTCAATATAAAAGGAGTGCTCTGTGACTAAATAACTTTGGGTAACTGAGTATTCATTGGAGGTTCATAGTGCATATTGTCAATTTAATCCAAGTGTTTCCCAACCTTACATTTTCTCCTTTAACAGAATATACTGTTTTTCTAGGTTGGATTCCCTGGGAAGCAGACTCTGAGATAGAAATGTACATGCAGGAGACTTACTTGGTCATCTTCTCAGGCACAACACCTGATGGAAGTGAGGGGCGATGGAAGCAGGGCGGGTAGAGGGAGAAGTTCAGCTGCAATGCAGTTGCAGCACAGACGTCAGCCAGTCAAGCGCTTGGGGACTGCTCTGGAGCTGTGATGGCCCTTCAGGGATGTTCCACCTCCAAGGAAGGAGGCCCGGCTCCCAGGGAAGGACTGTGACCTCGTGATGGGCAGCTCTCTTCCACTGAGGGCATTTCCGGAAAGTGACTCAGCTCTGAGATGTCAGCTAGGGTAATGAGTGCCTCAGTCTTCTCTACAACTCTGAACAGCATCTTCACATCTTTTGTAGAAATGCATTATCAATTCCTAGCTAGCGTCGCTGGTCAGAGCAAGTCACTTGGTCTCTTTGGGACCTAGTTTCTTTCTCTATGAAATATGGATGCCAAGCTGGAAGTTCTTTGGAGTATTTAACATTCTTTGTTTCTAGTTCTATTTAAATATGTACTAATTAAATTTCAAGGTGAGAGACAAGTTTTCACAAATACGTATTTGGCCATATAGAGATCAAACAATCTGGATAGGTCAGCCTTAATCTTCGATTACTAGTGCTACGCACTTACGGAGAATGTGCATTTTTACAGCACTTTCAAGTGTATGTCATTTAAATTGCCAGATTCTTGGGGCAAAATGGTGTAAGAGCTGAGTTGTAGTTTTTTTATTTTAAAATATTTTGGTTACCTCTTGTTAGGTGTTTCCCGAAGAAGTGAGCCTGATGTCTTCCCAGAAACATTAGCCCATACTGCGAATCATTGAAGGATTAGACTGGCATGGGAATGAAAGGCAGGCATCCACCTAGCTTTAAACCAGTCTTCTGTGCTCTTATTCATCTTCCCTTTCAAAGCTCAGGGGGTAAACAGGTGTAGCTAAAAAGCGATAGCACTTTCTCTGGGGCCTTCTGTTTGAGAATCAGTTGGGTCTTGTGCCCGTCCTGATTCTTTTAGCGAATTTGCTAATTTCATTCTCATGCTTCCTGCAGAATTCATCCGTTATGACAGCTATCAAGGAAGCTTGTGTCCTGATTGGAGAGGGGAAAAGCCTCAAGGAATGAGCCTGTCTAAGGTGTTCCTGATAGGATTGATGAAGGTTTGCAGACAGGATGGAAAAAATCCCCAAGAAAACTCTCAAAGGAAAAGTTCTTATGAGATAATGGAGGAGATGGTAAAGTGAGAAGCAAACCTAGGATTAAGGGGTTTGCTGTTATATGAACATGATGCAGAGAAGATAGCAAAAAAAGAAAAGAAGTGCCAAGATTGATGGCTGTGTCTAGGGTCAACTTTTAAATTGAACAAATATTTCTCTCAAAAATCTTAACCTTTTCTTTTAACACAAAGCATCGTAAGGATTCTTGTTATTCTTCTTATTGTATAATAGTAATGGATCAGGTGACAGATTGTTAAAAAGGGAATTTGAAAGGGAATAAACTAGAAAATATATTGTTAGAGAGTGGGAGATAGTGATGGAATAGGAATTTGCCTTAAATAGATCCAAAATATTTTAATCTTTTCTTCACAATCATTGAATCTTCCCTTTTCCTCCATAACAGATGGTTTGGAAGACGTATTTATGCAAACTTGGAAATGTTTCTGGAGCCACTCCCCTCATAATCCATTTGCAATTATCTGTTTACAAAAGTGTCAGATTTTATAGCATTTTGGTCTCCAATGATTTAATTGTCTAGCCCATTAAAATCCCAGTCTCTCCTCCTTACGTTCTTCCAGTTCCCGTTAGACCTGTGGGACCAGTAGGGTGACGAGGGTGTGGTCCCCATTTTCATGCCTTCTAGCCTCCTTCTTCTGGTTTTAACTTCTGGACGTTGGGGACTGAAAGGGTGGCAGAGGACAAAAGGGCCAGATATCTCCTGACTTAACTAGGCCATCCTCTACGGGGTGTTGCTTCTTTTCCTGGCTAACGGTGAGTAACTATTGATACTTTCTGTGTGAGAGGCTTCCAAAGTTGGGCTCTCTATGGGACATGTGTGTGAATTCTACCACATACCTCTAGTGACCTTCACACTGGCTTCTGTGGGCCAGTAGGCTTAACCTCTTCCTATCCTCTCAGCTCTCTCCCCTGGTGTACAGCTCACCAGGTCTGATTATCTGGGTCCCCTTGTGAGGAGGCCAACCTTCATCTACAGCTTTGTGAGATCAATCACTGAAAACAAAATCTGATGCTTTTCTCCATTATTTCTTTCTTTGGTCAGGTAGGCTTAGAGCAAATTGACTGTCCCATGAACTGATATGATGTCCAGCTAGGAGATGAGATGACAGTCTGTATTAGTCAGCTCAGGCTGCCATAACAAAATACCATACCTGGACTTCTGGAGGCTGGAGAGTCCAAGATCAAGGTGCTGGCTAATTCACTTCTCCAGTGAGGACTCTCTTCCTGGCTTGCAGATGGCTGTTTTCTCACTGTATCCTTGCACGGTGGAGAGATAGAGAGAAAGCAATCAATCTGGTGTCTCTTCTTAGAAAAGCATTAATCCCATTATGAGGGCCCCACCCTTATGACTTCATTTAACCCAAATTACCTCCCAAAAGTCCCATCTCCAAATACTGTCACATTAGGGTTTATGGCTTTAATGTAAGAATTTTGGGGAGACACGATTCAGTCCATAGCAGTCTGTCCTGTATATAGCCCATAGCACTTCTTATTATGCCCCTGGATGGTGATTCCAGTCATTGCCTTTCCCTTCCCTTCCTGGTAATTTAGTCTTCCGTATATGGGCCTGGGATGGGTCTTGGGGCAGAGTGGTGGTTTAGAGGTAGTAGAAGTTGTAAGGATTTGCCTACCTCTGAGATAGCCCAGGATCAGATGTCCAGACCTCGCTATAAAACTCTGTTTAGAATGTGGGGCAACTTAGTGCTTCCTTATCCTCAGCACTGGGTTCTAGTCACCAGTTCCAGGGCAAGAGTAAAGCCACATTCAGAATCCTATTAAAGTACCATTCCTCACCCACGATCTTGAATTCAGAGCCTTGAAGCATTTCCTTTGCTCGAGTAACACCGCTCATTCTTTAAGGCCGGCTCACATGTCAGTTTCTCAGTGAAGTCTTTCTAGGCCCTCATCTTCCTCATCTCTGTAGAATTAGTTGCCTCACGGTCTGTTTTCACACGGGGCTTCTTCATTCTTTTATTAAAGCACTGAGAGCATTAGTAAGTTGTTTGCAGTTTTTTTCCCCACTGGTTGGTGAGTTCCTTAGGGTTTAAAAGCAGTTTTAAATTATCTAGTATACGTCTTCATACACAGTAAATTTTGAGTAAATATTTTGAAATAAATAATTCAGGAAAGTGCCAGCATGTATATTGAATGGCTAAACTTTTGGACTTAGAATTATATTAAACTTTTACTAAATCAGTAATAGTAAGAAATAATATTATATAGATAACTTTTTATTATTATTATTATTAATATAAATATTCATTATATTGTGGACCATATTGAACTTTGGTTAAGATGTTTCTTAATTTGTTTCATAAAATAGGAATTAAAATGCTTAAATTTTTAAAATAGCATAAATAAGTTAGACTACATTTTTTAATAGGAAATATGCTACTTTAAGGATTTCTAATGGTATAATCTGTTGGCATATTCAAACCCCTTCAAAATCACATATCCCTTGAAAATATGTTATGCTATTGTGTTTTACTACTGAGAGTCTGAGTGGAGGTTTTGCCACTTCACTCTTAGAATAGATGTTTGCAACGTATTTTTAGCATCTTCCTTAGAGTTGGTCAATAACTTGACATCAAGTCTGCAAATACCTTTGACATCATATTTGTTTTGTGGGAAAATGGAAAACATTTTATAAGAGAACTGCATGAAATGTTATAGTTTTCTAAATGGTGTCTAATTATTTGTCTTCTAAAATGAAGTGACTATAGTCAGCATGGATGTGAGTTAAATTATGGGAAAGTCTGAAGATTTTAGGAAAAATTAATCCAAAAAATTTTGTGTTGACCTCTAAAGCTTTCTCCCTGTGAGTCTTCCTGTCTTTTCTAGCATAATCAGATGTGGAAGTAAATCATAAATCCGAGGAAAAGATTATTCCACATATAATTTTTAATCTTTTTTATCCCTACCTTTCACTCCTACAGAATCCATTCTCACATATGGCCATCTGGCTCTTTGAAGCAATGTCCCATCATGTGCCATGCTGATGATGTCACAGGAAGCAAAGAAGTCAGTGTTAGCATATAGCCAGCCTACAGGAGGTCGTGTAAGTAAGGTTTTAAGAATTATATCGTGCAGTATAGACACTTTTATGTAATAATGTAATTAATGATAATGAAGTTGTGGCAAACCAGAGGAAGTTACGTATATACTCAGAATTTGAAAAATGAGCATCTTGAGTTAAAAAAGAAAATGCCTCTCATCATAGAATGTTAAAGCATTTTCTGAGGATAGAGAACATTGCACATAAGAGAGGTGGGCAAATTTTTTTCCTGAAAAAAGCCAGATAGTAAATATTTTAGACTTTGCAAGCCAAATGATCTCTGTAGCAACTACTCAACTCTGCCCTTATTCCTGGAAGGCAGCGATAGACATGGGTGGGCATGGATCTGTCCCAACAGAACTTTATTTACAGAAACAGCTGGTGGGTGAACCTTGCCCTGTGGGTCATAGTTTGCTAACCCTTGGCATATAAAATGAAGAAATTCTTCATCTCTCTTTCTGCTGTATTGTTAGGTTACTTTTAAAGGAACTGAATTGCTTAAAATTAAATAATAAATGTAATCCAACTATCCGGGTTTTGAATGATTTTACTAATGCAAGGAAATTAGAGAATAAAGTAGATTAGAATTTTTGAATGACTCATTGAAACTTTTGAAAAATATTTGAGAATAATGTAAACTCAAGTTCAGACTCAGGTCCTAAACAAAAAAGCCAGAGAAATGGGAACCCAAAGAACTGGCTTCTTCTTGATAAAGGGAACACATACTTTTCATTTTTATCTTAGTTATAATTTATATTTAACTTCAGAAAAAATCCTGTAGCACGCATATAGATCAGGATAAATGGTGGAGTAAGTAAAGGGGCTTATTAAAATTGAAGCCCTTTACAAGAATCCTAGGAGGAAACATGTAATTCCTCTCTTGTGTAATTGTTTCTGGCATCAAAAAATGATACAGGAAATATGAATTGAAAGAAAAAGTATAACGAACATGCCCTTTGCCTATAATTACCTACAAAATAAAACTTATCTTATAGCTTCATATGCTTCCTTGAAACTGCTCTATTTCCTCGAATTTTTATTAAGAATTCCCCAAACCCAAGAAACAACTTACTGACAATCTTAGGGAAAAACCCATACTAGATGTTGCTACAGTTGAGGGCTCAAAGAAGAAGCAGAGGGACATTTTGGATGTTGAGGGATAGACATGGTGCATTTTTACAATAGCAACATAGCTCTGAATTGTCACTATATTTATGAAAATGAATAATGGTATTTTTAAAAATTCCATTATGATCAATTCTGGGGCAATAAACAGGGGAATTTTCTTCAAGTGAAATCATATTTGAAATATGCAAGAAATGAAACAGGAATCTCCCATCTGGTGGTTTGAAGTTGTGAGAAAAGCGTTTTGTGCTTTCTGTTTTTCTGAATTCTCCTTGATTCCTAGATTTTTAGTTACGGCTTCCTTTGCTTAAAAACAGAGGTATTTTGATGTGGTTATTTTTTGGAGGTCCGTGATAGCTGTTTTGTCTGATGTGAGGGAGGATTGGGAAGAATATAGGCTAGGTGGAATTAAAGACCCCATGTATCTGTTCCAATTTGCATAGTAAAAGCAAGCTATCTGTTCCTTAGTGTACACCAGGGCTACTGTAAGCAGGACCCAGAAAGGCACTATTTCTTTAGGATGTTCCCGTGAAGGTAGCTGTTATTTGGGTACTCAATTGGAAAGCATATTAGGCTCTGTGCTAAAGAAATTTTCTCTGTGGTGACATTTGGGCTAACTGAATCTCACTTGTAGTGTTTATCATGATCTGCTTTGTTTTCTTTTATATATTCTGAGCATAAATGTGTTTATAAAGCTGAATTTGGGTATAGACTAGGTTGATGGGAATCTCATCTGTGCGTGCTTTCACTCCAAGCTCCCTCCTGTTTTATTTTGGCTAGGGCTGCAATCTACAGGCTTGGTTGACCTTGAGTCACCATTGCAACTCAATTTATCTCAAGCTTTTAATTTTATTTCTTATCATCTTTCTGATTATCAAAGTAATACGTCCTCGTTATAGTAACAGTGAAACCTACAGGAAAGTGTAAAGTGGGAAAAATATCACCAGAAGTGCAATTACTAAGAGACATATTATTGCACGATTGTTTCCAGGGTTATTTTTTCTACATGGTTGGTATAAAAAGATTGAAAATTTGCCTTGTAGTTTGTTTTTTTAAAAGCAAACTGTAATGTTTCCCCACGATGTTACATAAGTAAAATAAACGTTATTTTCAATGCATATAAAACATTCCAATTAAAAATGTATCACAAATCATTATGATTTCATTAATTTGTGGTTATTAAAAATAGTACTTCAGCAAATATGTTTTTGAATAAATCTCTGCCCAGATTTCTGACAATTTTGTTAGGAAAATTTCCTCGGAAGAGAATTAAGATGTCTAACGTTAAAAATATTTTAATGGTACTCCACACATATTCCAGAAAATATGTACAAGTTTACACTTTCATCATCTCTTTTTAGCCTTGGTGACATTGCGTCCTCACCAGTGCTGACATTTAACGGTTTTAAAACCATCCTTCCCGGTTCCATGACAAATAGGGCAGTAGTTTGGGCCAAATGTAACTCTCCTCTTGAAAATCATGTAGAATACGATTGCGGGGAGACCCACAAACTAAGTCTATACTTAAACCCAGAGACAATAAAAAGCCATAAAAGCCAAAACATGTGTCAGTGTAGGCAAAGCCAACTGAGGCCAGCAGAATTTGCATAGAAGGCCCTGCTAGACTGACACAGAAGAATGGGGGAGTGGAGGGGGTTCAGTGATGACAGATGTCAGCAATCACCAGCAGATAAGGATTCCAAGGAAAGAGCCCTGTTCTGAGTTGGAACTAAGCTCCAACGGGTAATCATTGCTGGGAGAAGTGGAGAAAGATTCTTTGTCCCCATGGGGGCAGATCTCAGAAAGCACATCTTTCAAAAAGGAAGGAAATCCATTAGAAGGAAAAGACTGTGTTCTTTGGTGGCAGCTCTTAGTGATGAAGCTAGAGGAGGTCAGAAGGGGTGCATAAGCCACTTATAAACTGATGGACTTCACAAGGTGCATCCTGACAGGTGGGGGCGTTTCATGGGCTTCTTGCCAGGGCGTCCTCTTGACATGGAAACATGGACAAGTTAACCGGCTGTGTGGCTATTCTTTGACCAGTGTGATGCAGGAGTTAGTAACAAATTCTTGCCACTTTCTGTGCCTGGGAGTGATGACAGAGGTGCATAGCTTTGCTCATGTAGAAATGACCAGCCCCGCAGCACATTCTTCTATTGGCTTTTCCCCGTTTCTGCTTTGTTCTCATTTTCACTTCCTCCTGCTTTCCTGGAATTGCACTCCTTAATAAAATACATTTTCCGTGTCTAATTTCCTTTGGGACTTCTCCTCTGATTCATGAGTTATTCAAAAATGCAATGCTTATTTTTCAAGCAATTGAGAATTCTCTAGTTATCTTTTTTGTTATTGAATTCACAGCCAGAATTCTGTCAGAGGATAAACATTGAATCAATTCAGTTCTTTAAATTTTGTAATGACTTGCTCTATGGCCCAGCATATGATCCACTTTAGCAAATATTCCAATAGTACTTGAAAAAAGTGTGAATTTTGCCATTGTTTGGTACAATGCACTGTATATGTCGAGTAGATCAAGTTTATTAATTGTTTTTTCAGACCTACTCTATCCTTGCTGAATTTTTTTTTGCTCTTGTTGTATTAGCTTTTGAGAGAGAGATTTTAAAATCAGCAACAATGATGGTGAATTTGCCTATTTCTCCTGTGAAATGCCCCCCTGTCTTTCTAATAAGGTTACTTGCCTTAAAGTCTGCTTTTTCCAATATTAGCGTAGCGACCCCAGCTTATTTCATTTAGTGTTTGCATGATATGTATTTTCCCTTCCATTTACTTTTCAGCTTGTCTTTGTCCTTTTGTTACAAGTGTGCCTTTTGTAAACAATGTGTCACTGTGTTTCACATTTTTGTTTTTAATTCAACCTGACATAGTCTTTTACATAGAGTATTCAGTCCATTTTCATTTAATATAATTACTGATATAGTTGTGTTTGTGTCTACCATCCTACTAGTTTTTCTATTTGACCCATCTCTTTATGTGGCTTTTTCCATCTTTCTTGCCTTTATTTGAATTGATCAACTTTTTATTATCTCTTTTTCCTCTACTAATTTGTTAACTACTATTATTTTACTCTTATTTGTTACCTGAAATATTACATGTATTTTTTAAGTTGTTACTCTAGCTATTAATTGTTACCTAGATATTACAGTATGCATCATTTGTGTATTACATTCTATCTAATGATTGTCTTTAGACAAGATCATTTCAGTGTGGTTTAAACCCTTCCAGAGGAGTACAAACTTCAAATTATTTTCATGAAGTGAGAATATCATTGACACCTCAGCTTGGTCAAACTTTCACATAAAAAATACTATTCCTCATTTTATTTATGAATATCAATGCAAAATTCTCTGAAAATTATTAGCAGAGAGAATCCAGCACCTTATTAAGGGAGTGATATATCATGATGAAGAAGGGTTTCTTCCAGGAATGAAAGATTATGAACTTTATTAAAATAATTCATCATATTAATTGATATAAGGGGAAAAAAGCACGTTAATCTCTTTAGATGCTGAATATTCACTTGAAAAACTTCAACAGCCATTCTGGATGTTTTTTAAAAAAGAAACACAAATCAATAAAGTAAGAGTTAAACATTGTGTAACCATGACAAATTGACAAAGTGTTTATGCGCTCACACATACATACACACACAGACTCAGTGCAAAGACACCTTCATAAATAATGGCAAAATGCTAGAGGCACTTTTGCTATTTTTGCCAAGAGTACAAACAAGATAAGGGTGCAAGCTCTCACTCTTACTAGTGATGCTGTACCATAGTTATTAGTCAACAAAGCTAGACATGAAAAGAAATTTCAGGTACAAAATTTAGCAAGGTGAAAGTAAAACTGTTATTTGTTGATGA